TCTTGAAGGCAGCCCTTATTAAGGAGAACAGAGAGCTCTGGACATATTTCAAAATATTTTTCCCCTCCTCCTGCCAGAAGCAGAATTGGATTTTTTCTCGTCTTTACAGTGAGAACCTAGTGAGTGTCTGGAGGTAAAACTCATGAAAGTGTGTTCCCTACTGCCCCCCCCCCCCAAGACTGGGTCCCCTTGGAGTTTTTAACTCTTGGGCTAATCCATACTGAGCCTGTAGCAATTCATCATTTATAGTTCAAAGTGTCCCCACCGGTACTGGTTCCAGCTCTGGGCTTCTGCTCCTGGGCAATGCTCCAGGGGAGCTGTGATTTTCTGCATAGCCTGTCTATAGTTTTCGGGGAACCACTTTGACCCAAGACCTCAATTCTCTGATGGATCAAAGAAGAATTGTCCATTTTCGGTTTGTTCAGCTTTTTCTTGCTGTGAGAATGGGTGTCAACTTCCGAGTTCTTTACATGTCATGCTGGAAACTGGAAGCTCAAAGTAACAGTTCAGTATTATTTAGATAATTAATGCATGCATATGGTTTTAAAAATTCAAGTAGTCCAAAAGAATACATAGTAAATATTTCCTTCCCCAGAGGCACCTACTTTATGCTAATGTATGTGTGTTCTTTCAGAGTTATTATATGCATAAAGAAGCCTATACCTTTGTACATTTCCCCCACTCACTTTTTTTTTCCAAATATAAATACTATACATATGGTTCTGGCCATTCCTTTTTAATATATCACTATGTCTTAGAAATCAATTTATATCAGTACTAAAGCAAACAAAAAAAAAAAAACCTCAATGCCATTGAGTTGATTCCATCTCAACAGTACCAAACAAAAGAAAAACACCTCAAACTCACTGCCCTCGAGTTGGATCGGACTCTTAGTGACCCCTCTTTGGGTTTCCGAGGCAGTATCACTACAGAAGCAGATTGCCCAATCTTCCTTCGAGGAGTGGCTGTGGGTTTGAACCACCAGCCTTCTGGTTAGCAGTCAGATGCCTTAGGCACAACATCACCAGAGCTGCCTTATTCTTTCAGTGGCTACGGAATGGCACTGAGGGCAGTTGTCTCCAATCTTTTGTTATTGCAAGCAGTGGTTCAGTGAACATCCTCCCCCATCAGTCTTGGTGCCTGTGTGCTACTATATTTGTATGAAGTCTAGGAAGTGGACTTGCTGGATCAAAGGCCTTATGGATTTTCATTTTCTGAAAGGAGAATTAAAAAAAAAAATTTATTGTGCTTTGGGTGAAAGTTTGCAGAGCAAATGTGTTTTCCATTCAACAGCTCATACACATTTTGTTTCATGGTATTGATTAATCCCCATGATGTAACAGCTGTCTTCCCCTTCCTCCTTGTGGTTACCTTTTCCCTGTGTCCTTTTCTGTACATTCTTGCCTGCTGAGCAAATACTGCCTTTCTGATTTCCCATGATTGATTGTTCTAAGGAGTAGGTGCCTGTCTTATACGTGTTCACCTTATATACCTGTCTATTGTTTGAATGGAAGTTAAGCCACAGGAGTAACTTCAGTTCTGGGCCTGAAGGGTGATCAGGGGACATAGTCTCGGGGGTTTCACCAGACTCTATCAGACCAATAAGCCTGGATTTTTTATTTATGATTTTGAGATTTTTTTCCACATTTTTCTTCCATTCTATCCAGGATCTCTAGAAGGAGAATTTAAACATTTTTTCTGTTTCTTATATTATTGCTTTGCCAACCTTTCTATTCATGTGTAGTTGATTTCTTGGATTTGTCTCTGATGTCTGCTATCTTCTGGAAACATTTGTTTCTATATCTAATTCTTCTGTGTTCTGCGAGAATTTCTAAGGCATTCTGGTTCACTGTTTGCTTTCTCTTAAGTTTCATAAATGTAATATATTCCTAAATGTGATAATTCTTAAATATGATGATATTATAGAGAGAGAACCTCAAGGTTCCTGGGTGGTGCAAAATGTTTGCCAAAAAAAACCAACTAACTCACTGTTGTTGAGTTGGATCAGACTCATAGCAACACCTCCTTGGGTTTCTGAGGCACTATCACTATGCACGTAGATTGCCCGGTCTTCTTTCTGAGGACTGGCTGGTGGGTTTGAATCGCCAGCCTTTTGGTTAGCAGTGAGATGCCTTAGGTGCTATGCCACCAGAGCTCCCAGAAGGTTTGCACTCAACTGTTAATTCAGATTAGTGGTTTGAACCCACCCAGCAGTGCCACACAAGAAAGATCTAATAATCTGGTTCTGTAAAGAGTGCAGCCAAGAAAACCCTATGGTGCAGTTCTATTCTGTAACATATGGGGTCACCATGAATTAGAATCAACCAGCAGAAGCCTCCCTTATGTCTCCTTCCAGTTACAATCTCTCCATGGATAATCATAGATTAATTATGCTTTTTTTAAAAAAAAAAAAAAAAACTGTATAAAAATTGAGTCATACAGTATATACTGCTTCTATCATTTAGCGTTATGTTTGTGAGAATCATATGTGTCGTTGCACATAGCTGTAGTTTGTTCATTCCCACTGCTGTTGGGTATTTCATTTGTGGGAATATACTACAGTTTGTTTATCCATTCTATTGTTAATGAACACTCGAGTGGTTTCTAGTTCCGGGCTATTATGAATAGTGCTGTTCTGAACATTGTTCATGTCTTTCGATGCACATATGTACACATTTTTTTGTTGTTGTTGGGCATATGCCTAGGAGTGGAATTGCTGGATCCTAGGTTATGTAAAGGTCCTACCTCTAAAGTGACTGTCTCATTTTGCATCCCCATAAGATCCCGGTTTCTAGCACTTGGTATTTTCTTTTAATTTTAGCTATTCTGGTGAATGTAAAATAATATTACCTTGTAGTTTTAGTTTTTATTTCTCTTACCACTTATAATATTGAGCACCTTTTCATGTTTATTGGCCACCTGGGTGCGCTTTTTTTGTGACGTGCCTGTTGAAATTTATTTTTCAATTTTTTAATTATTTTGGCTAGCTAGTAGGTTGCATTTTCCCATCCTTTTGTCTCTTTCTCTTTATCTCTGTTTAATTTTTTCTTGGCTCTTTTTGCACTTGTAATTATATTTTATTTCCCTAACAAGTAAACTTTAGAACCAGTAATAGTAAACAACTCTTTTAGGACATTTAGTGAATTTGCATGAAACTTGCTTTATTTTGGAAAAATTGATACCTGGGAAAAGGAAGACACAGAGAGTCGCACAAGAGGTGCAGACAACAAAGATAAACATTTTTACATGTATAATACTGCATATTTTCCTTACCTAATACAGCTCTAACAGAAATATACCAAAAATGGGATGACTTTAACAAAGAGGAGTTTATTCTCTTACAATTTTGGAGGCTAGAAGTCCAGGTTCAGAGTGCCCAGCTCTAGGGGCTGGGTGAAAGCCCTTCAACCTTGGGCTTCAGCTCTGCCTCCTGCTCCTGGCCCACTGAAGCTAGAGGCTTTTCTTCACTCAGGCAGCTACTAGCTGTTGAGGCTGACCAATCCAAGGTTGACAAGTAAAAAGGCACAGTTCCACTATTACCAAACAACATGGTAGGCCACAAATTCAAGTCCAGAAAAAGTACCAAGATCTTCAGGGCATGGCAGGCTGTTACACAGTGACTTGGCTGCATACAAGCATGCCAAAAAGCTGGACACACTGGAACCAGCCCACATCCCTAAAGCAGCTACTCTGCTGCTCTGGTAGATTCCACCATGGAGCTGATTACCAATCTCACCACAGGGAATAACTACATCCAGCTGCCCATCCACTCAATCAGACCCAGCCAAACTGACATACAACCTTAACTACCACACTGCATTATCAGTAATAATACACATTAATCTATGGTTAGATACATAGGTAGACAGGCTGAATGATCAGGTATGTCTAGGCAAAAGGGAATATACCATGACCATATATGATTGGTAAACAATATTTCAACATACATATTTGTATGTACTATAAGAATGTCTATATAAGTAGAACTGACATGAGGCAAAGGTATAATAACTTCATAGCCACAGCCAACCATGATGGAGTGAATTGTTGGAACTATGGCCCAGACTGTGGTCGCAGGGCACATCAGTCTCAACTGGCATAACATAACAAACATAACATAACATAACAAAAGCATTGATTGTTCCACATCCTACTTTGATAAGTAGCAACTGGAGTCTTAAAAGTTTGCAGGAGGCCATCTAGATGCAATAATCTGTCTCTCCTCATCTGGAGCAAAGAAGAGTGAAGAAAACCAAAGATGCATGGAAACAATTTATCGAAGGGACTATGCAATTCTCAGCCTACATGACCATGAGACAAGAAGAACTAGATGGTGCCCGGCTACTCCTGTCACCACTTGTAAAGGGATCAGTGCAGGAGATCCTGGATAGAGTGGGAGAACACTATGGCCTCTAGTTACACTTCAGACCTGCAATTGAACTCACTGCCATGGCTTCCAGCCAAGCAATAGACTTGGGTGAACATTTTTTACTCCAGGTAGTTACACTCCTTCAAATGATCAATCATGGGAGATTAGAAGGGCAGTATTTGCACAGGGAGATCACTTAGGGGGCAGGAATGCATAGGAAAGAAGGACACAGGGAAGAGGTAATAACTACAGGGAGAAGTGGGAAGAGAGCTGTTAAATTGTGGGGATTACAATCAATGTTATGAAGCAAAATGTACATGAACTGTTATATGGAAGATGAGTTTGCTCTGTAAACTTTTACGCAAATCATAATAAAAATTTTTAAAAAAATTGATACCTGGACTGGAAGATGAGATTGTCATTTTTGTTCAAGAAGAAAAATAAATAAATAAATCCTAAACCCTTCCAGTTTTTTGCCCACAAAACTGCATTATTATCTCCATATTTAGTTCCAGTTTTAGCTTTACTTTACTACCATGATGTTTTTGACTTATGATTGTTAGAAGTGAAACTTTTAAAATATGCATTTAAAATCTACACACTCTTTTTAAAAAATATAAATGTTTTACAGGTTCTTGATCAATATGAACGAGAAGGATTTAATTTCCTAGTGAAGGTGTTTAATTCTTCACATTCCTTCTTAGAAGACTTGACTGGTCTTACATTGCTACATCAAGAGACCCAAGCTGCCGAGGTAAGAACAAAACCAGCTTCCTGGGTTGAGGACTAATGTGTTCATAACCCATTTAATATTCAGCTTTATGGGAAAGGGAGATAGCAGTTAATTATATTCTTTTCCTTAGAGCAAATATTACTAAGTAACTCTGCTAGGTTTCAAAGACAAGAAAACCTACTGAAATTGCTGGATGCTGATGTGTGTGAGTTGCTGTCCAGTAGGTGCTTAATGCACAAAAATTGCTTATAAAGGAGGTGCAGGTTATTGATATTCCAAGCACCTGCTGTCCTCACTGGAAATCTGTATGTCTATAGTCATTGGAAGGTTGGATCTAATGTTCACATCATCAAAATGCAAGTCAGTTAAGGCATTGGACTTTGGCCATGTTCTTCAAAAAGAGCTTGCCTGGCTTTTATTTCAGATTTTAATCAGTCTTTTTAGGCTACTGAACCTCACCATAAAATGCCTCCCCCAATCACAACTTGAGAGAGTAATTATGCGCCATTCAATCCTGAGGGAAGTATCTGTCATTGGGTGACAGGGAACCTGGCTACTTTTTGGTAGCTTGTTTTTACAATGCCTTTCATATTATGTTTTTGTTTGTCAGTTGGAATATTTTGCAGACTACGATTTCCTGGGCTACCACATCATGTTTTGTTTTGTGATTTTTTTTTTTTTTAAAAAGACTGAATTTAAAAGATAAATTATCATTTGTATTTTCCACATGCTCACTGTTTTAGGAAAAGGGAACAATGTATATGAATGATTCAGATCACTTGGCAAAATGGACAGTTCCTACAAATGGATAGATGTTATTAGATCACCATCGTTTCCCCTTAGTTGCTTGGATGAAGAACCTATTAGGAAAAATGTTGCCTGTTACAGAATTTCCACAAGCTACTTAAGCTACTTAGGGAGCTCTGGTAGCATAGTAGCTAAGGCACTTGACTGCTAACCAGAAGGCTGGTGGTTCAAACCCACCAGCCACTCCTCTGAAGGAAGATGGGGCAATCTATTTCTGTAGTGATATTGCCTTGGAAACCCAAGGAGGGGTCGCTATGAGTCGGGTCCAACTTGATGGCACATAACAACAACAACCACCACAACACTTAAGAAAAGCCTTGATTGCCTATATCCTGAGGAGTGGGATAGTTGCAAATGTGCCATTAATCCTATTCATTGATAAAACTCTCCCTTGAGCGGTGTGTTCTTACCACTAGGGGAGGCTTTAAGTGGTCAATGAGTAGATGACCAGGTCCAATACTGGTCCTGTGGGGAGGAACTAACTGTCTACTGTTTAGAAAAGTTGAGCTGGGACTGTGTGCCAAAAAACCGTGTAGAAATAGCAGAGTTGTACCCCTTGGAACCTTGAGTAGATTGGGACCGAGGTGTTCATATACACCAGGGAGGAGAGGTATTACATCTCTAGTACTGAAATAACTGAAACCTTTTCTTCTTTAACTTGCTTTGGTATCCTCTGGATTTTTGACAGATGCAATCTTCCACCTAGGACCAATAGTTAGAACCACAAGCTCTCTAACCTTCAGTTTCAGAAGATAAATGGCAGGGCTTCCAAGAACTTGGAGATCTTCCCTAGGGTTATGATTGGGTTCCAGATAGGGCTCAGAGCATGGTGTTGACCATGGCACCCATCTTGTCTTTTAAGTGGTGTTGTACTGCCTAATGGTAAAGGAGAAATAACTTATAGATCTTTTCAACCATGCAGTCACTTGACTGTTTGGCTGTGGGAATTTTCCACCCAGCTAGAAATAATTCACATATTTCTCTTAAGTTGGCTAGAAGAATTGCAAGTTGAAATTGACCCCATATTTCACTCTTTAAAACAGAGCAGATGCTAGGATAATGGGCAGATTCCTTCATTTAACCTGGTATGTTTTGAATTTTAGTTGGATTAATAGCCATTTCAGAAACTCAAAAGAAGGAGAAATTTAAGAGAGAAATGACTAAACACATGGGGGCAGGGGACATAGTTTCATCCACAAATTTCAGTTTTCTTTCTGAGTTTTTCTTCCATTAAATTACGTTTATAGTTTTGGATTCATAAGCCACACATCACATTTTAGATTAGAGGTGGTAAGCTTGTTGGCCTATGAGCCAGATATGGCTTGCAGGTGTGTTTAGTTTGGCCTCCCTGATATATTAAATTTTGAATTAAGCCAACATATAAAAAATCATGAGTTTTATGTAAAAGTCTGAATTTCCCTATTTTTAACTTCTTTGAAAAGTCAGATCTGGTAACCATGGGACTGCATTTGTGAATAACAGTAGTTAGTTGGAGCTGAGAATCAGAGTTGATAGATCCATAATGCACTTGATGATGTACTTCAGTTGATGGCTCTTACAGGTATTTGAGTTTCCAAACCATGTCTTAGAAAAGGGATTCTTATTTTTCTTTAAAAATCACTAGATAGGACTCTGTGTGAAGATAAGCATCAAAATAAAGTGCTCACCATAGGATCTCATCACAACAAAAATCATTGTCTTACATGATAAAAAGTTGTGTAAAAAAAAAAACATCATCATCTTACCCATATCATTTTGTACTACCATGAAAAAATTTATGTGTGTGTGTTTAAGTAAAATACACGTTTATATTTTGAAAAAATCTACATATTTATGTAAAGGTAGAATTTTGATATATGTGCTTCACAAATGTTCAGTAATAAAAATTCAAAATTCTTCGTTCTACCTAAAAAGGTCCCAACTTATTTATTTTACCAATGTCATCAAGTAGCTCAGTTAGCTTTGGTCTTGGTCTGCTTTCATCAATCAAAATTAGAATTTTAAAAGAGTCAACCAGGTAATTATGTGTGTTAGTAACATTGTTTATAAAATATGTATCTGCGCAAATTATTATCTTTAAAGAAAAATTGCTGAACACCTTTTGAAAAGGTAGAAGCCAGGCGCTGTGCTAGTAACTGAAAACAAATTAGTGAGGCACTGTCCTGGGCCTCTGAGCTCATCGCCTCGTGTGAGAAGCAGAGATGTAAGATAGTGAGCTCCAATATCATCAGAGGAGTGAGTGCAAACAGTTAATACTCTTTGCTCTGCTTTGCTCTGCTACTGACCTAAAGTTTGGCGATTGGAGTCCACACAGAGACACCTCAGAAGAAATGCCTGGTGATCTGCTTCCAAAATATCAGCCATCAGAAAAGCTCTGGATTTGCCCAAAAACAAAATTCAGAGGGCAAGAAGGTGTGGGAAAGATGAGCAAAAGGAAACCTAGGGAAGAAGTGACAAGAGTGCGGTTACATTGAGGGGATTTCAACTAATGTCTCGAATCAAAATATGTATAAATTGTTGAATGGAAAACTAATTTTCTCTGTAAACTTTCACCCAAACCACAATAAACTACTTCACACACACACACAAACGCTATGAAACACAATTTTACTTGGCACACAGGGGTCACCATGAGTCAGCGCTGACTTGACAGCAACTGATTGGCTTTAGTATCATCAGAAATGTTTTAGTCATTTATATATTAAGTACTGAAAGAGCAGTTACTCCTACCTGGGGGAGTAGGGATGTCAAAGAAACTTCACAGGGAAGGGAACCAATAGTTCAGTTAATTTTAAAGGATGAATAGTCTATTTTTAAAAAGAAAAGTTGGATTTACTAGGCAAAGATTGGGGAAATGCAGGCAATTAGTCTGAGTAAAGACCTCAGAGGTCAACAGCTTCTTGTGTGCTACTCAGAGTCATGAACGATCTAATGTAGCTGGAGCCAGAGTTACCTCAAATCAAGATAATTTTGAAAAAAAAAAACTGTTTTGAGTTATAATTCACATACTATAAGATTCACCTATTTATACACTATAAAATTTGGCATTTTTCACAGAGTTGTGCAACCATTACCAGTAAGTTTAGAACATTTTCATCACCTCAGAAAGAAACCCCATACCCGTTAGCAGTGACTCTCCATTCCTTCTACTTGCAGAGCTTGGCAACCACTGATCTGCTTAGTCTCTCTATGTCTATTCTTTTTGTTAAAAAAACTTACTTTCTTTATTATTTTTTTTATTGTGATTTGGGTGAAGATTTACAAAGCAAATTTGTTTTCCATACAGCAGTTCACATATACTTTGTCTCATGACGTTGACCACAGTTTACCACAATGCAACAGCTCCCCTCCCACTTCCTCCTGACCTCTCCCAGTGTCCATCCCTCCATGCACTCCTGCCCCCTGAGCTGTCTCCCTGTG